GGGAAAGTTGGGATCCCTTCACCCCACCCTCCTGAGGCCCCTTAGCTGAGTACAAACACCCAGAGAGGGGACCCTTCTCTTCTCACCACACAATTCCAGTTTCTGCTATCAAGTTGTCAGGGCCACCATAATTGCATCAGGTTGCCACGGCAACCAGAACATACAAGGTTGTTCTCCACACCAGAATATCTTCTACACATCCTTAGGTCCTTATAGTGAGCTTTGACTGAGAAACAGTGATTATATAGCCTGGCCCCTCATGTTTCAAACCTCTTGGGCAGTTCTTCTCTCAGTGATAGATCTTTCATTCAGCTTGCTGTTCTTTATCTGTGTCTCACTTTCTCAGAAAGTGCTCCTATCTCTTCCCTACAAATTCTGGCAGAGGCTCCCCACAATGCCCTACTGCCCTAAGTCTGACCTACAAACCAGTTAAAATATAAGGTTCCATTTCAAATGTCAGTTGTAATTTATAGCTTCATTAAGTTGTATATACTTTGTCCTGGCTATTTTGTGTGTGTGATGTTCTTATTTATTTACAATTTTTGTGACAAAATATTTTAAAATATGAGAAAAGATAAAGGACATATTGAGTGATTCTTAATAAAGGTGATACAGTGAATGCGATTTAGGTTTTCTGGCAAGTGATTCTTATTAATGAATCCGTCTCAACTTTGACGGACTTACCATTTCCGCTGTTTGGACAGTCAGAGCAGCCTCCGATTGTGATGTGTGTCTGTAAGGGGAAAGTTATATAGGTTATCCTGGTGGCAGGAGAAAACGCTTCAGGATCCCTTCCTTGAGAGACATTTCTCAAGGTGCTAGAGACTGCTCTTTTGGGTGTGTATTCCCCAGGCAAACTGCTGCAGGTAGGAGTGTCTGTGTGGTTAAGACAGCTGCTGGCCGTGGCAGCTTCCCATTCACTGAGGAGGGATGGCTGGATGAAAGAGTGGGCTAGAAAGCATGTATCGTGAGCATTCCACTTAGAAATCCCCTCATGGAGGAACTGAGGAATTTTTTCATAAATTGATGCAAATAATGCTATTCTCAGATTATAGCCCAAATCATTACATAGTTCTACCAAGTGTCTTTGTGCTAGAGGGAAAAATCATGTGAGCACTATTTTTTTTAACCAATTCATTAAAGATGATAACTAGTACAAACAGCTATGTCGTGATTACTGTTTGAGAATAAATTCTGGGATCAGACATTTCCTATCCTACTTTGATTTCCCAAAATCTTTGTGTCTTTTAAACTTTGATGAGGAATGAAAGGGAACATGCTCAATAAACAAAATACACACATAGGAAAACAGGTTTTTTAAAACAAAAAGGGGCAGCCGGAGAAATGGCTCAGCAGTTAACAGCACTTGCTCTACCAGAGGATCCAGGTTCAATTCCCAGCACCCACATATCAGCTCACAACTCTTCAGTTCCAGGAGATCTGACACCCTTAGACAGACATAGGCACTGGCGACATAGCAATGCACATAAAAAATAAAAATAAAGGTCAGGTGGTGGCAGAGGCTCAGGAGGCAGAGGCAGGTGGATCTCTGTGAGTTCGAGGCCAGCCTGGTCTACAAGTGCTAGTTCCAGGACAGCCAGGACTGTTATACAGAGAAACCTTGTCTCAAAAAAAATTAAGTAAATAAAATAAATCATTTAAAAACTTAAAAATTAAACTGAAAAAAAATTATCACCAAGACACAATGATACGTTTATCAAAGTGAACTCAAGTTGCAGATGGATGGATAGATAGATAGATAGATAGATAGATAGATAGACAGACAGACAGACAGGAAAGATACTAGGGATTGGATGTAGCACCTTTCATATGTTAGGCAAGTGCTCTACCATTTAGCTACATTTAACTACCCAGGCCTAAAGTGTTTTTTTTTTCTAGTACTGAAGTTTGAAACTAAGGTCTTTAACAGGCAAGGCAAAAGCTTAGCAATAAATTATATCTCCAGCCTCTGCGTTAACTTGTTAAATGTATTATTATAATAAATAAAACTGTGTACCACAAAAATTAAATTCCTAAGGAAGAGGTTAATTTTTATTCTTGGTTTCCCTTTGCTAATAAAAATGAAAACCTCTATTCACATTATACTTCTTGGATCTTTATATTTCAATTCCATATTAAATTCCCAAAAAGCATGCCTGTCAGATAAAAACAATTGTATCTCAAAAACAAACAAACCAGCATTCATCTCTATCACACTAACAGATGTACTCACCACGAGGAATGATGAACTGGGAACTGGTACTTAGTCCTAGTTAAGGCTTTTCTGTGAGTGCTTTCCTTAATGCCAGGTTTTGACACCTGCGGTTTTCATGCTCGGCACCTGTAGCGATTACACCAAGTGTCTGACTATAAAACAAAATAAGATCAATGCAAAGTATGTACTTGAGCATTCTACCTACCTTCCCATCTTCACATAACTACTGTATATTTCTGTTCTGATATGCTGAAAAGATCAACAAAAACCATATTCCACATGTACGTGATGGAAAAAGACCACCATTGAAGCAGTTATTTCAACCATTGCCATTTTCCAGGCAGAGAAATGGAGCTCCCATGCAAACTAGGTGACGAATCAGGAGTTAATGTGGGAACACATGACATTCCACCTTTGAAGTTTCTGCTGGTTAGAAATACTCTTTTGCGAATGCTTAGGCACGACCAGCATAGCCACATGCATGGCTGATTAAATGAATGGAGAGTTATGGTTACATGATATGACCACAAAACTGTTCCACATTAGTTTCAAGCTGTTCCTGGGGAAAAGAATAGCCCTTGCTGTTATCAGAGGTAGTGTAGCTAGATCGGTTGGTCTTAAGAGCAGTTAAATCACACTCACCCTGTTAGCAGTGTTTATTCCCCCGCCTTGGAATAGGCCATTTTAAATTTCATTGTGTAGTATTGTGTATATTTACTCAATAAGCTAGTTTACAAACATTCCAGTTCCTTTATAGCATAAGTCAAGTAAATGGGGATTGTATGCAGAGAATGAAATGTATTTTGTTGGCACAATAAAAATTAGTCCTTTCACACAAGGTAGGGAATCTCCAGGAATGATAAAAAAGGATTTCCAGAGTAAAGAAAAAAAGAAATCTCTAAGTGAAATTTGATTGCTGTGTTGTCTGAGAAGTAAAAGAAACAGGAGTAGAATTTGGTCATGGTATTTTACCACAGCAACACAAACCCTAAGTAAGAAAAGAGGTGAGGATTCCACTTATATGTGGGTATAAGGACAACTATTTAGAATGCTGCTTTAGGAAGTAGTGGCTATATGCTCTCCATGACTTATGTGTTTACTAGCACTTTAGCAGTAGGTAGGTTCCAGGACCAGACATGACCTCCCGCTTGCTGAGTGTGTGTGTTAAGTACAACTAGAAAGCAGTTGGGTACTGTCAAGGTATGTATAGCAGGCACTACTGCACCCTTGGGGTTTTCATGCCATACTGGTCGTTGTGGTCCATAGGTGTGATAGCTGGTTGGCAGTATTGGCCACTTCCCTCCTTAGGAAGCTTATATGGTATCTTCTGTAAAATGAAAGCTAGTCCTCGGGGAGGAGGCTTACAGGTTAGATCCAGATTGAATCTGCTGGGCCCTGAGTCTTGCGGGGGCGGGGTGGGGGGTGGCACTCACCTTGGGCTGCATCCTCACCCCCACCTTCAAAGACAGAAGCACCTGCAAGTCTCCAGGATCCTGATGAGAAAAGTGGAAGACTTCACTTGACCCAGAAAAAGAAGCGACCTAGGCTTCATCACATTCCACATCTCTACTCATGTTGCCTTTTCTCCCCCCCCCCCAAGTCACTGGTTAACCCTACCTCCACTGGAGCATTGCAAGCCCAGATGGAAAATTTTTATTTACGATATATGTGTATATTTCTAGATAGACTTAGTTGTGTTCTGTGTATTTTGATAGTTCACAATATGATTCCTTATGATTTTTTTTTTGAATTTTTGAGACAGGGTTTCTCTATAGCTTTTGGTTCTTGTCCTGGAACTAGCTCTTGTAGACCAGGCTGGCCTCAAACTCACAGAGATCCGCCTACCTCTGCCTCCTGAGTGCTGGGATTAAAGGCGTGCGCCACCACCACCTGGCTCCTTATGACCTTTTAAAGCATAGTGCTATTTTTCTCTTCTCCCCCTTCTATTCTATTTATCTTACTTCTTCCTCTCTAATTAGATGCCCCCATTTTTCCATTTACCCCTTCATATCATTTGCATTCTGATAATACCCCCCCCATCTATTGCTTTCCTATTCCCCAGTCCAGCAATGGTCTTTTTTACTTTCCTGGTTTCTGCAATTACACCAGGTTATGTAGTCACAGTCTTCTCTAGTTCCATCCATTTACCTGCAAATTTATTATTTCAGTAGTCTTTGCAAAGAAAGAGTAGCTGATGAAAAAGCAGAGTAGTGGAACCTACACCCAACTGATACAGCAACATGTGGATGAAGGTGGGGTGGAGTGCATAAGGCCTCAACCCCAGACAAAGAACTACAGATAAGTAAGAAGCGCTGAGAGTGAGAGAAATAATCTTCTCTGGGGAAGAGCACACCACGGATTACCCAATACTAAGTGGTCAGCCATGAAGACATATATGTATAAGTACCATTATACATATTGAGGATGTTGAATTTAGGAAAAAAATGTGTGTGTCATGAATTTGAAAGAGAGCAAGGGGGTTACACGAAAGGGTTTGGAGGGAGGGAAAGGAAGAGGAAAATAGTGCAATTATATTATAATCTCATAAAATAAAAGCAATTATTTGGCAAAAAAGAATGAGATTAGATTTCAAGTTTAAACTATTGTTTGCTTGAAGTAATCTAACAAACTTCTGAATTTCAGCTTCTTCATTTGAAGAGAGTTAAAGCTTGCACTGCTTACTTTTTTAGATTATAGAATATATATTTATATATTTTTTAACTGAAAAATCATACCACAAGTGCTATTACTAATATCCCAATAAGGATTAAATAATGAACAATCAACAGTTTTAAGCAGTAAGGATTTATTTAAGGGTATTAAACATACTAGAACATACTCAGCACATGTTAAGCATGCCAACATTTTCAAATGTCAGTAACAGTGCTAAGACATTTTTGCAAAGATACAGCGCACAGCAATCTTTGTAGAGAAAACACTGTGAGACACACATTTGATATGGGGGAGATATGAACTGAGTTACAATTGTTTTCAGACTAAGGAGGCATTCACTATTCAAGTGGACACGTTTGCTGGCAAGAAAGACAAGCATTCAGATTTCTGAAATGGGGGCAAATTCTCATTCTCATACCTATTTACGAATTTTGTATGTCAAACTTCTAAGAAGCAAATCACAATTTTCCTAGCGATCAAATACATCCTAGAAGATATATGAAAACGGCATTCATCGGGAACCTACAAGGAATGTCAGGAATAAAACATGAAGTTATTATGACAACACCCATACATCAAATTTTTAAATTCTCTCCAAACACATTTTATATTACACACAGAATAACACAGTGACTATGACAAAACTGTGCTTTCTTTTCAAGCCATATGCAATTGTCTGATAATGTTCTGCTCTGGTGAACTTCTGTTGTTGTTGCTGTTTGTACACTAACTACTTTATCAACCCCTCTCCTCCAACTATACAATTTCATGTTGATTCTTATACCAAAGGAAACGTAACAACCATTTTTCACACCAGGAAGATCCATGAATGCAGTCTCTGTGTTAGGTAAATGGAAGCATGAGGATGAGGACTTCAGCCAGTCCCAGACACAAACCCAGCACGTTTTAAAATAAACAAAACACAAAAGTCAGCAAGACGTGAGGGAAAAGATGAAGGAAATATGTTTCCATAAGCACACATATGTCCTTCAACAGATGCAGAGAGAGTTCTTCAGAAAGCCGTGGCTATTTCATACGAATCTGGAAATGGGACAGACACGCGTCCAGATCCAGTCACAAGAGGCAGAATGCCAGCAATCGGTATAACTTGCCAGGACAGAGTCAAAGTGACATTCCTGTTTCCCTTGAGACCGTGCCCGTCGTCAAAGAAAAAATACTTGCTTTTGACATCTTTCAGATCCAGCTTGGGGTTCTCTCCTCGCAGAAGGATCTTGTCCCACAGGACCACCTGGTTCACAGCGTTGCTTTTCGTGGAATATTCTGCCGAGAGGTAAAGGAAGAGCTGCTTGACGTTCCAGTCGAAAGTCTTCTCCAAATCCGCAGAGATGTGGAACGTGATGAAGCCCAGGTCGCTTCTTTTCCTGGGTCCGGTGAAGTCCTCCACTTTTTTGAGCAGGACCCTGGAGACTTTCAGGCTCACTGGCGCGCTTCTGTCTTTGAAGGCGGTGGTGAGGATGCAGCCCAAGGTGAGCGCCGCCATGACGCTCAGCGTGAAGGCGAACAGCGAGTTCGCCCGCGAGAGCAGGGTGTTCATGTTGCGGGATGGATCGGCGGCTCCCTCCACGCGGGCTCCACCGGCGCTCGCTCACTCGCTCTCTCGCTTGCTAGCTCAGCTCGCTCACAGAGACTCGCTCGCTGGGCAGGGCTTGCTGTCTGCTCGCTCGCGTTCCCTCTGCCTTCCTCTGGCTCGCGCGGAATGCTGGGCGCGCGCACGCGTCCCTGGAGCGCGCACCGCCCACGTTGCCTGTTCTTTTTTTCCCCCAAGTCACTGGTTAACCCTACCACCACTGTCAGCTGATAGATAGTCTCAGGCACTTGGGGCATCTGACAGGAAACAGCAGCACCGTGTCTCTGTGTGGCTGAATAAGCCCAGGGGGACTTGAGCTGCCTCATCCCCTACACCCAGACACAGTCACTGAAGGTCCCATCTGCCCTGTCCAGGGAACCCTTCCCTTTGCACACTGCTGCACCATGGCTTCCATACAGCCTAGCCCCTCCCCTGGCCTTCTGCAACAGGTTCCTGATGGCTGTACCCCCACACTAGCTCACCCTGCAGTCCATTCTCTGCACAGAGAGCAGCCATCATCACCTGCAGTTCCTGTCACTTCCCTACTGGCATCCTCCACGCTCAAAACACAGTCATAGTGTTAAACAAGTGGCCCAGACTCTGTGCTACATCTGCTCTTTCCACCTCATCCCCCATCAGCCTGTGTGTTATCTGCCAGGCTCCTGCCGCTGGGTTTGTCCTCTGCTCCTGGACAACTGGAGCCCACACAGTGCAAGCACATCAAGAAATGGCTTGTCCTTGCTGGCTTCTTATCATTCAGGACTCGGTTCTAAAGCCACTTCCAGGAAAGGCCTTCACTGACAACTCTGAATGTAATAATCCCTGTCACCTGATTTTCTACCCTAATTATTATTCTCTCAATCACAAATTGTCGTTCCAATCGATTTATCTTCTTTGTCCCAGTTTCCCAAGCTTTAATGACATTTCAGTGTCCCTGGCTATCTTGTTCTTCTTGTGCTTAAATCAGAGGCTTGTGCATAAATCTGATAAATATTACTTAATTGACACATTAGAACAGACAAAAGAGCCAAATATGTACAAGTCAGTAGCCATAAAATCACGTGTGTGAAAATTCTAAATATTTGAAAAACATCAGAAAGACTTGTCGAAAACCCACATTGCTTTTTAAACCAAGGTGGATATCAGAATGAATTGGAGAAACTATTGAGAACATAGAGACTTCCCACCACATGTCCCTCATATAATTCCGCAATTTTAGGGCAATAGTGGCACATGAAATGTCTTTCAGTTTAATACATTTCTTCTGATAAGTTTGATGAAAACTTCCTTCTTGGAATATTCCAGACTATCACTTGAGTACCACTAATTGAATATCACCCTTGCAGAAATTTTAGACTAGATGGTCTCTATTGATATAATTACTCAAAGCAGCCTGGTCCTTCAACCCACAGGAAGTCACAGGGTACTAAGAATATGAGTACATATTTGACTGAGCGCTATTTCTTGAAAGGAATCTTTTTTCCCTCTGAATTATCTTTGGATCTTTTACAAAAAAATACTCATTGATGTAGATATGGATCTATTTCTGGATTCTTGATTTAGTATCTCAACTTGATGTCAAGAGAACACTTCCTTGACTGCGATAGGGTTATCAGAAATCGTGAAGTCAGGGTATTCTTTTCAAAAAACTTTGTCTTTTGAGCTTTCACTGAATATGAGTATCAGCATGTCATTTTCTTCATAAAAATGTTTGGAGTGTTATTGGAATTGTAGTGACTAGTTTTTTGTTTTTGTTTTTCAAGGCAGGGTTTTTCTGTGTAGCTTTGGCGTCTGCCCTAGAACTCACTTTGTAGATTAGGCTGGCCTAGAACTCACAGAGATCCGCCTGCCTCTGCCTCGCAAGTGCTGGGATTAAAGGTGTGCACAATCACTGCCAGGCTTTCAGTGACTGTTTTTTTTTTTAAAAAGATCTAATGTAATTGCTTGGGAAAAGACTCTTCTCAAGAAATAGTTCTTAAGCCGGGCAGTGGTGGCACACGCCTTTAATCCCAGCACTTGGGAGGCAGAGACAGGTGGATCTCTGTGAGTTCAAGGCCAGCCTGGTCTACAGAGCTAGTTCCAGGACAGGCTCCAAAGCCACAGAGAAACCCTGTCTCGAAAAAAAAAAAAAAAGAAAAGAAAAAGAAATAGTTCTTAGTCAAGTGTGTACTCATATTCATAAATATTAATCGTGCTCTATTGCACTATATTCAAAAAGGTGAATTTCATGGGAATCAATATCTAAATAGAGACACCCAGCTGTTGAATTTCCATCAGAAAATATGAAAGATTAATCTGCTGAATGGGGGCGTCGTTAATTATGTCTTTCATGGTATAAGCTGTGTGCCAGGGTCATCTCAGTTGGCAGTTGAGTGAAGTAATTTTTTGAGGGTGTTCACAGTAACCTTGAGAAGTTATATGCAGTTGAAGAGTGTAGGGGGAGAGAAAGTTGAAAAGTCATGGGTGGTGCCCCTGGCAAATTGTCCATGCTATAATCTATAGCCCTAAGTCCACATGTGTGCAACACTAATTAGACTCATATATGTGTGTATCTATGTATGTATATGTGTGTGTGTGTGTGTGTGTGTGTGTGTGTGTGAAGTTGGGAAAGGATGTGATGAAAGGGACCTAGGAGGAAACAGAGAAGAGGGAAACGGGTGGATTTGATCAAAATAAAATATATTCATGTATGAAGAAAAAAATCGAATGAAAACATTTACACAGACAAGTAGTGATGATAGATTAAAGTCAAGTAAATAAAAAGATAGTGAGCACTGGTGTTAGGAAAGGGTCAAGGATTCCAAAAAAAAGACCAACCACACATTCCAAAGCCTTTCCTAAGACAGTAGTTTTACTTCTGCAGAACCATCAATCAAGGAGGCAAGCACACCCAGCAGGGATTCCCCTGGGCTTTTATTTCTAATGCAAAGGGATCAGGTGCCTCTCTTTGAGTGATTAGAGCTTTTTTATTTTTTTACACTATTACACTGTTGGCTAACTCAAAACAGCACTGCTTGGGCTGGAGAGATGACTCAGAAGTTAAGAGCACTGACTGCTTGCTCTTCCAGGGGTCCTGAGTTCAGTTCCCAGCAACCATATGGTGGCTCACAACCATCTGTAATGGGATCTGATGCCCTCTTCTGGCATACAAACATACATGCAAGTGGAACATTGCATAATAAACAAACAAATTTAAAAAAAAAAAAAAACAACACTGCTTATAAGCAAAGTGCAACTTTGAAGAATACCATGCAACCCTGACCACATATTTTGATTTCAAGAAATGCTGACACTGTGGGAATTCGAATTTCTGCCAAATAAGTGGCTTTTTTAAACTTCTTTTTTTTTAAATGGAGCTTTGTCTTACTTAACTCTATAGTAGAAAAGACAACACATTTTGTTCACATTTCCAGCATAACCAACTGTTAAGAAAAAAATTAAAAAGATCATCAATTAACTATTATTACACTATGAGAGAATAGCTAATATGAAAGAGATTGAAGCCCTGGCAAGATTGCAACTTCTGCAACTCTTATACATGGCTAATAGGGGTGAAAACAACTGGAAAGAAAGAAGAGAAAAGAGTACTTGAAAGTGTAGTTGTAGCACCCAAGGCACAAGGAGAAAAGAGTACTTGAAAGTGTAGTTGTAGCACCCAAGGCACGAGGCCACGGTGATTTACTCCCTTGAAAAGTTCCCATCACTTCCCAATAACACTATCAACTTATGAATCTCTCAGTGTACAAATCCACTTACTAGGTTAGAGGCCTCTTGAGTCCTCTTGATCCAAATACCTGCCCATTAGTTAAGGAGAAAGCTTTCAATATATGTGCATGGGGTGTGAGCTCTTCATATCTTGATATAGAAATAAATAATTTGCATTGACATGATTGGTTAATTAATAAAGAAACTGCATTGGCCTGTTGATAAGAAGCTAGAGCTAATGGGCCAAGTGGTGATTTAATCAATAAAGAAACTGCCTTGGACAGAACTTAGCTAGGTGGAGAAAACTAAACTGAATGCTGGGAGGAAGAAGACAGGGTCAGAGAGAAGCCATGAATCCTCTGCTAGAGGCAGGTGTGCTGAAACTTTGCTGGTAGGCCACGAGCCTCGTGGTAAAGTATAAAATACTGGAAATGGGTTAAATTAAGATGTAAGTGTAATGGATTATTAAAAATTGCTGCAGATCCCTGAGTAGCTTCAGGAAGCAGAAATCCTGCAGGTACAGGAGTGGCTGCAGGCAGTGGGCCACGTGGTGACAGGCAGCAGGATCCGAGAGCATCCAGTCCCAGGCTGGGACCATGCCGTAGGTCTCTAAAGGTCCCGGGCGGCAAGCCATGTGGTGGCGATGGGTGAGAGACAGACAAATAGGCACACCATGCAGAGTGAGGTTGGATATTTATTTAGTGGTTATGGAAGGGAGGGGAGAAGCTCAGAGAGGGAGAGAGACAGAGACAGAGAGAGACAGAGACAGAGAGAGAAGAGATAAGGGAGAGATGGAAGCTGCCTCTCCAAGAGGGAGACAGAAAAGAGAGAGAACTCAGGCTGGAAGCTGAAGATCAGTCTGTCTCAGCAGATGGGGGAGGGAGTGGGCATGGCTTGTCTCTTAAAGAGACAGAACAATCATTACATTCCCATCTCTTTTTTATAATAAGAATGTGGGAAGTTAGACACTGCAGTTTAAAGGAATTGGGGCAGCAGAGTCTCAAGACTTCTTCTTGTTTATTTGTGGGTGTCGTCTTTGGAGGGAATCTGAGAAGGCTGGGTGCTGGTCACATCCTGGCATAGCTGGTCTCTTTGTTCCTGTCTGGTGTTTGTGGTATGGAAATGTCTTGTGTCTGTTACACCTGTTTAAGGTATTGTTGTGCTGAAAGACCCTACAGACACCCCCCCCCCAAAAAAAAAAAAAACCCGCAGCTAGCCGGCTCTCATGAGAACATCCTGTTCACTTGAGACCCTCAGGACCCTCTCAGGACCTGCAGCTAGCCGGCTCTCAAAAGAACATCCTGTTTGCTTAGGGAAACAGGATGCCTATAGTCAGCACATGTGCCAAACTTAGAATATCAGCAGTTTACAAAAGAAACAATTCCCCCTATGAAGGATCCCAGCTTAACTGCTGTAACGTCATTTCACAAGGCTCTTGACAAACAAATGTAAGTGAAGAGTGAGGTCAGGGCCCCTGGCTGCAAAGCAGGATATTTGTGAGATAGGATATCTATACAACGGGATGTCTATTGCCATACATCTGTGCTGGGAAAGGAAAAACCAAAAAGGAACAGGATATCTGTTGCCATACATCTGTGCTGGGAAAGGAAA